ATATATATTTTTAATTTTTAAAATGTCTAGAAATGAGTCTTTGAGGATAATTAGTTTAAAATCTTGTAAACTAGTGACTTTTTTATTTTAATCTACTAGATAAAATTCTAATTTTTCGACAAAATCAATCAATCAATCAAGAATGAAGTGGGTTTAGTCAATAATATTCAGCTTTATCAGTACAATATCACACTTCTGACCACATTTATGTATAGTTAATCATCATTTAATTTTGTGTAATGTCTTTTTTATTATGCTTTTGATTTGAAATAAGTTGCTTTTACAACACTATCGATAATACAAATGCCTTGTTATTGATATTTAAAAGTTTTATTTTCATGATGAATAGTAATCGAAACTGATTCTAGGTCGAGCTTCTAATCATGTAGCATAGCTATGATTGATTTCATATGACCCAAAGGTAATATAATCAAAAGATAAATATGAAAGACAAAAATAAACCCTTTTTTTTCTAAGGTCGCCTCCGATAGTTTATCCTAGTCAGACTAATCTTCGGTAAAAAAAACAATCAAGCTTTTTTAACTTTCATAAAACATAAAGAAAAAAAATAGGAAGATAGAATCTCAAGCAGATAAGGGTCATTTGCAAACATCAACATACCAACACATTGAAATCAATCTAGAACTAATTTATCAATTATCAAATCTAACTGTATAAAACTGATACTATCATCGGAGAAAAAACGAATCTTATCGAAATTTAATTATAAACAAGTTTCTTTTTTTGATGTAAAAAGACAACAAATTCAGTATACTTTTCATTTTCATATATTCGTTTCAACATGATATTTTCTTTTAGCCAGAAAATTATTGAATATCATTTACAAGGAAATATTTTCAAATGATTGATCACCTTCTTAGTAAAAGCTGCTGAATTAAAGTTTGTCGATTGTGTTAATTCGGAATAGAATCATAAGAGACCTTCATAGGTCTTTATATGTTGACTTCCGAGGCTAGCAAAAATTTTACAAAAAATCATTATTGATCCATTCAAATTATAGAGCATGCAGAATTGTCTTCCAGTGAATAATATTTTCTGTTTTCCAAAATTCATCTTGAAGATTTTTAAATGTAAATGTTGATATGCATCTATTGTATGAAACAAAGCGACTATATTTTCTACAAAACAAACACTTTGAAACAGAAAATATTATTACAAATTTTGTCAGTTTAGAAAACCAATATATGAAGACCTAAAGGAACTTCTCACAGTCAGATTCAGAATCAACACAGTAGACAACCAAAAATCTAATATTTTTCGCTTAAAAAGCGACTAATCAAATGAAAACATTCCCTTGATAGTCCATTGTAAAACTAATATATAAATTCTAGCACACTTAATTTTACGAAACATGATTTAAAATGAGTGTTGAAGTACACTCTAGACAGGCTGTGACAGACTTTTTTTGATATTAAATCAAAAACCGTATATCCATATCATTTCGTTACAATATATGAACTAGATCCTTATTGTATGTCTGAGAGATTAAGTAAAATGATGGTGAAGATATACGTCCCAAAATAGATACAACAAAACAATCTTTTTGTGATTAGTAACAGCAGCTGCATCGTGTTTTATATGTTAATCCCGTAGGGATTGTGCTGTCAAAATTTCATAGCAACAAATACCCATCTATTTGATCATTAAATATAATATGAATCATTTATGTGTTATAATGCACGAATAATAGATGCAATTATATGATAATATAATTCATATCATTTATTTTAATGCATTGTTAGACAAATGATGCATAGAAAAAAAAACATGAATTGAGATGCATCTATTATTTACACATTAGAGTTTTTCATAAAACTAATCTATTAAAAAGCGAGTATAATCCAGATTGCAAGGCACCAATGTTGTATTCTTAGTTATGACTATGTCTACAAAAAATGTAAAACATCAATAAGCCTTTAATAAATATTTGGCTTACATTTTTCTTGTTGAATTTTTCCAAAAGATTAAATTATAAAATATTTTTTCTCAAATAATAAAAGCTAGATTGCTTCCTGACATGAAAAGATGACTAATTACTAATATTATGAGTGAGTTTTTAAAGCAGTTAAATTTATTAATGCATGAAAGAAACATAAAGATTACTGCAAGGTTTTTTGTTTCTAATGTAAAATTTTAAACTTTATTCAACAAAAATATTACGTAGATGACATCCAATCTCTTAGATACTATTTTTAACAAATGACAAATGTTTTTTTGACAGGATTTCTAAATCAATCTAAAATTGATAGAACACAATCTATCACAAAAGAAACGGCAGTATATTCGAGTACTCTTATTCTTTCTTTTTGAAATACTTATCATTGAATAAAATTTTATTACAATGTGATATTTATTTGATAATGTCATTTTACTAGACTGATACTTGAACTGATTATTGCTAGTATAAATAAATTCCTTGAAAAAACAAAACCTTGTTCGATATCAAATACTTGAAAAATACGAACAGATAAAGTTTTCACGATAATATGTTTCTTAAAATAATTGTATTATTGAAATGAAATGAAATGATTTATTCTTACAAAACAATCATCGAATTAGATATTATCCTATCAAATGATATTAAAAGATGAATAATTTGTCCGATAGATATGTGATATATAGTATTACTCATAGATAAATAAATAATTATTATAACGTAACATGATAAGACAATGACTATCTTTTGAAATTTTATTGATACAATTAGATACAAAATACGTTTTGTTTCTTTTTTTTGCCCTACGATTCATAGGATCGAAGTAAATAGAGTAGGAGAATAAAATGACGGCGAAAAAAGCAGTAAAGAACGACGTATACGTGATCTCTCTTCCTATGTCAACATATAAAATGCGAGCGAGAGAAAAATGTACACGTATAACGTGTTATCGCCAACATTCACTCTTCTTTACATTCAAACATGCGTTGTATTGTTAGTCTTCTCTATGAAGTTTTTCTTTTCGTAACGTTACTGCATATTATTAATGTAGTTCATTCAAAAAAGATTGAAAATGATCTATCAAAATCAATTCTTGATTTTACACTTGGCTTTACTCGTCATCATTCATCATCAAATATTGTTGGCCGTCGTAATTTAGTTTGGTCACCATTAAGTCTTTATGAAGCAATGTTAATGGTTGCTGAAGGTGCTGATGGTAATACATTTAAAGAATTTGAACATATAACACATTTAAAAACTAAACAAGCATATCGTGAATGGTCAACAAATTTTTTAAATGATGCAAA